ACGTTCCTGCACGTTAGACAATAACACAGCCAACACATCACAGCAAGGAATCACAGACGCGCGCGTGCCTCAATTATAAGACAGAAACTACTTGGACACGTCCCATACCGTGCCTAGCAGTTTCTACCCCATAATTAAGCATCACATCGCGCGATACAAACACACTCGCACGCTACTCACACCATGCGTCACTTTCCACAATCCTCTCGCTTGTCTTGCCAAATCCCACTCATTTTCTACCTTTCCACCACTACCGCGCTCGCGTAAAACGCATCAGGCCAACGGTCTTCTGACCTCGTCAGGCATCGTCACCCCGTCGGGCCGGGCATCGTCACCTCGTCAGGGACGGCATCGTCCCGCGTAAACGTACACGCCTCAGGACGGAATCCTACACACACTTTCCTTCTACCGCGCCCGCGTAAAACGCATCAGGCCAACGGTCTTCTGACCACGTCAGGCATCGACACCCCGTCGGGCCGGGCATCGTCACCTCGTCAGGGACGGCATCGTCCCGCGTAAACGTACACGCCTCAGGACGGATCCTTTCCAACCAATCATACATTTCCGTACCCTCGTTCCACTCAAACCACACTTACACATGGCCAGCAACACTCACGGTCATACACAACCTCACGCCTTACACACAATCCACCACGTATGGTCAAACATACACACCTCACACACATTTCACGATTACTCATTCACGTCACACGAACACGCACACATAACCACACACTCTTGGTACACAAATTCATTGCACAATCACACTCCCATACTCACACACCTCACGGCCACACACACGAGGCACACGGCCAAGCCACATTCAGTCCGAAACACACACCAAACCAGCCAACCATCACGAGCCACACAACCACATACAAAGTGCCATTCAAGGCATAATTCTACCAATCAATCGCACAATTCAGTCACAATCAATCCACAACACCTCAGCCATCATCGAGCCTCCTAAACCTCGCAAATTTCCTTGCCAACTCAGTCTCCGATTCAGCCCACAACAACCACACAATCAACCTTCAATTTAGTCCTAAAACGGCCACATGAACTACCCGAACTAAACCCTAAACATGCCCTACGATACCCGAACTCCTAAATGACATTTGGGGAAAACACTTACCCAAAAAGGCGAGACAGAACGGGGCTGGAACGGGCTGGGACGGCAGCGGCAGCCGGAGCAGCAATCGCCGCGACGTACGGACGGCGTGAACAGTACTTTCGTGCGGGACACCGTACGGACGAGGCTGGGACGGTGGCCGGCGAGGTGCCGGTGACAGCGCCACGTCCGTACGGTCCGGCGTGAACAGTGATCCGTACGGATGGTGAACAGTACACCCCCGTACGGACACGTACGGACGGTCTTCGGACGGCGACGTATGGACGTCTTTGGGCGGCCGGTGTCGACGGCAGGCAGCGATCGGAGCTCGGCGGCTCCGCAGATCTTGTTTGTAAAACGAAAAATGAGAAAAAGAGGGAAAAAGGAGAGAGGGCTATTTCTCGGACTAAAACCGGGGCGATGGTGGTGCTCTTGGGTGAAACTAGTCTTTGTGGTGCTAGCTCGCGGGGAGACTCAGTCGTGCGTTCGTTCGCGTGAACAGTCTGGAGTCGCGAAAGTGCAAGGCAAAACCGAAACGGTGAGGAAGAAGAGAAATGAGGAGAATGGGCTCGGCAGATCAGGGAAATGCGTGAGAAAGAGAGAGATTTCTGGTCAATTGGGTCAAAGATGGTCTAAGTGGAGTCCAAGTGTCATTATCTAAGCTCATTGGACACTTTTGCCCTTGATCCAATGGACAAGATTTGATCAAATCCAATAATTTAGGGGTGAAATGGTCTTTTGTCCCTAACCATGGTTGACCAGACCTGGTTTAATCCCAATTAACCTTGGTTAACCCCAAAATTTTGACCAATTTTCGGAATTAAATAAAATGGTCTTAGGGGCATTTTCGTAATTTTCCGATCCCGAACCGAAATTCCAATTTTCTCACATACGTGTTCCATATGTGCGTGGGCAACATAATATGGCGTCGGAATCGCGAAATTCATCGCGCAAGCCCTCGAAAATCCACGTCAAAGTCTCGGGAATAAAATAATATTATTTTTCCAATTTTTGTCGAAATTCCAATTTTTGGCTAAAATCACTCTGAATGTGCGTGGCCACCCCAAAATGACCTTGGCCGCGAAAAATAACCTCAAACGGCCTCTGAATCCAGTCTCGGTGCCCACATGGGCAAAACCGTAATTTTTCCGGCCCCGGACCGAAATCCATTTTTTTGCAGAAATGGGTGGCCCCAAGGTTGGCCAAGCCAAAAACGTCATCGGCCGTCCAAAATTGTCACTTTCAAAATTCTCGATTCCCGGGCCCGAATTCCAAGAAATGACTAAAATCGAACAATCGCGACTTTAGCTTATCTCTGGCTAACGGGTGGCTCATTGGGATTACGCGCTCTCGACCCGTGACTGACACTAAGTCAAATCACGTTTAAGTTTACTCTACCTGGGACGACCTCGGTTGTCATATAATTGTGAGGGTCTGTCGCTAGTTCCCTTCGGACACGATCAATCAAGTAGACCGGTCTCGGTTGGCTTAAAATATTCCCTCGTCAATCCATATGGTCGAAGATTGAACCCAGGTCGAGTTCTTTGGTCATGCGAACTCAATCCCGTAACGGCCCTACCCCTAAGGTTAGCATCCCGAGAATGCGCATTTCCGGGTGAGATCTCACTATAAGTGCATTGGTCAAAATATTCATTCCTTACATCCTGGGAAAAGGATCGAAAATTCAGACCGTTACACTCAACAAGCCAGAGTACCACAAAAAGTTAATCGGGAGATTTATGCCATCTCGGAGACCTAGAACAGAAGAAAAAAGCGCTGTCGAAACAAACAGCAAAAGCGGATGGTGACTGAACAACCTGCTCATATACATCTATTACCAAAGAATTGCCCTGCATCAAACAAGAGATTATCCAGGCTAGAACTACGCATTGCAAACAAATAGAGGAGATTCTGCACCAGGTGAGAAAGCTCGTGATGATTTTTCTTTTCTGTGAGTGTACATAACCTGCATTAACGCCGATGCTCCACTTCGTTGGTTGTATGGCGAGCGGCTGTTGCCTCCATTGTCCATTTTTGTATCTGTCGTAGGGCCTTGGGGGCTTACCCGACCTCCTCTTCAGCACGATGATCCGCCTGATCAGTTTTAACAACACGGCCACTCTGCCCAGTGCCATAATCGAAATGATATACGCCATTTGTCAATTGTCGTTGGGTTGCAGGATTTCGATGCCTATGAACACTTTGAGGATACCGAAGACAAGGATGGTCTTTTTACAGATCCGAAGCTGTGGTGGTAGATATTCCAGTAAAACTGGTAATTGTGGTCCTTCCGCGGTCTCACGAACAACGTGAAGATCCGCTAAAGACAAGGACATAATCAACATCGGACCCAATCAATACCCGCGCATCAGCACACAATTACAGACCTCAACTTTTCATATAGCTCTCACTCTCTCTCGATATCAACAAAAGTCACAAGTATCTGCATATAGAATCGTCTCATAATATGTTTGCATTTGGAATCACACAGCTTCTTCACAATTTGCAGTTCTTGAAGATTTCTATGAATGTCCCTCGTGAACTGTAATTGTTTTTAATTAGTCAAAATATTTTCAAACTCTCATAACACATAAAAGTACTTAGGGGTAAATTTACCTTTCCCACGGAACAATTTTGATCGGCAAATTTGTCATGTGAAACTAATAAACAGATAGAATTTTAGCTAGCTTAATATACAAAGTAGATCTAAAGCCAATATTATCAATATTTACCTTTTGATACTATTTTTAAACATTGTAACTTTCTTAAGAAATTGTGCAGAATTCAAAATACAACTTATTCTTTACTATAAAAACATCATACTTAGCCTCTCTATCTTGCAATTATTGAATATAACTAATATGATAACTTCGTGTTAACATTTTCATTTTTTGAAGAAATAATACAAAATGCAAAATACAATTATTCTTTACAACAAAAAATTATGCTTACTTAACCCCAGCTGATTGGGGTGTTAGGGGACTTCTAGGTCATGAACTAGAGGTTACCCGTTCTAATACCACATACTGAGTGCGAACTGACATGGGTTAGAACCACCTACATAGGCCAGATACATAAGCTTAATCATTTAATGAGACTTGCGGGATATTTAATAGCCTTCTAGGTAGACGGGTTCTCCACACCCTATCCTAGATCACAAAAAAAAAATGCTTACTCTAGGATATCTGCTTTTTTTCCTCATAAACTAGGTGGTTATGATGCAAATGTTCTTTTGAACTTAATTACAAAGAGAACATCCTGGATGACTTTAATTATTCTTAACTTCTTTTTGTTAGAAATTACTTATAACCTTTCCAAAAAGTCATAATAAAGATATGGATTTAGGAGTAATTTAACATTATAATCTAACCATTATGGTTGGCAAAACAATTAAACAATTTCAAATTTTCCTTGTGGACTGATTTTTTTTTCCCAACTCAAAGGGATGATTTGAGGGGATTTTCTGTCAACAAATCTCTGAAAATTTGAAAGATAATACATGAAATGTCAAGACTTATTTTCAAATAATGGTCAACATTAGACGATATGAGGGTTTAAGTTAGCCCAAGTCTATTATGTCAATAAGTAGAACGTTATCAAAAATTGCTATTCAATATACAAATTAATAACATGGTCATTTGAGAGCTGTGAAGAGAATCAAACGATATTGGCATTAGAAAAAGAATATCAAACAATGTCCAATTTATGACACGAATCGAAGATTTAGCATGGTAAATAGGAAAACTCATCGGCTATTTAGTTGAATCAAAAGGCAGGGCCCCGCAAAAGAACATACGAACTCCGCAAAAGAGCACACAAGTGAGGCGTTCGTTTGTTCTTTTAAGATTAAAGAAACTCAAAGCAAAACGCAGAACAAAAAAAAGGTAAAGAAGCTTACCAAACAAAAAAGCACAAAGTTGATTCGGCGTTATATAACTCCATCCATACCCATTTCCTCTTTGTTCCTCAGCCGTTGATTATCTAACTTTTCCAGCGAAAAGTTTTTTTGTATCGACGCTACCCCTCCTTCGTCTCTTTTGCACTCACATCTCTACGCCTTCCTCGTCTCTCATTCTTGCTCCGTTTCGCTCTTCCTTCTCCTCCGCACAACCATACTTCCTCCTCCTCCTCCTCCTCCTCCTCCTCTTCTTCTTCTTCTTCAGTACTTGCTGCTCTTTTTCATCACAGTCTCCCTGTCTCTCTGTTTTCTCGCTCTTTGCTTCTCAGAAAAAAAAATCAAAGAAAAATGGCGAGCGATCAAGTCGTCTCTATTGCATGGGATGTCTTGAAGGGCGTAGTTAAACCCATCGCGCGTCAATTCGCATACGTTATGTCCTCCAAGAGATACGTCCAGGATCTTCAGAAGGAAGTCGACAAGCTAGCGTTCGAAGCTGAGAGGGTCCGCCATGCCATCGTAGAGGCCCAAAACAATCTTCGCAATGTCTATGATCGGGTCCCGAAGTGGCTGGCAAGTGCTGATAAGGCCTTGATGGAGGCGCGAGACCTGTTGGGCGATTTCGAAAAGGTGAGCAAGACTTGCTGCTACGGGACTCTTCCTGATCCCAATTGTCGCTATCAGTTCAGCAGGAAGGCCAAGCACAAGATCGAGGTCATTCAGCGACTCGCTCGAGAAGGCAGTGAATTCAAGGACATTTCCTTCAACGATCCTGCACCGGGGGTTGTCGCTGATCCGACTCCAGCCAGGGGAGAAGTGAAAGATGTCTTCCAGTCGACCACTGCAATGGCCTCCGCTTCTTCCGCCTCGACGTCTATTAAACTTAGAGAGGATGACGTCTTCGAATCCAGAGCTTCGATCACACGGAACGTCATGGACGCTCTTGCCAATAACAACACTAGCGTGGTCGGGGTTTACGGGTTGGGCGGGGTTGGCAAGTCCACCCTTTTGGTAGATGCTGAAACGAGAATAAGGGAAGAGAAGTCATTCGATCTGGTCGCTAAGGCTGACGTGTCGGAAAATCCAGACGTCAAGAGGATTCAAGGAGAGATTGCGCATGCGTTAAGCTTGGACATAAAGAACGAAGAGTGCGCCAACGTGCGAGCACAGCTTCTGCGTAAGAGGTTGGAAAATGAGGAGAGGAAGAAAAAGGTCCTCATAATACTCGACAACCTGTGGAAGGGGCTGGACTTGAAATCAGTTGGCATTCCTTGTGGACATGACAATAAAGTCAAAGGATGCAAGTTGTTGTTGACATCGAGAAATCGAGATATCTTGCGAAGGGAAATGGGTTGCGACAAGGACTACCTCCTTGGTGGGCTGCAGGAGGAAGAGGCAAAAAGGTTGTTTGGGAGGATGGTGGGAGACAAAGTTCATGATGACGAGTTCAAACCGCTGGTGGATGAAGCACTCCACAAATGTGCAGGTTTGCCTTTCCTAATTGTTGCAATGGCGAAATGTTTTAAAGACGCTGATTTATCAGAATGGAAAGATGTTTTGAAACAAATCAATATGTCTAAAAATGAAGGAATCAGTGAGGTGATAAATAACATGTTGCAATTGAGTTATGATCTATTAAAAGTCGAGGAAGCAAAGTCATTGTTACGACTGTGTGTAGTTTATGGTGTCTCTGAGCCCTCTCTTGAAAACTTGCTGAGGTATGGCCTGGGTTTGGGGTTATTTCGAGAATATAGCAGCATTGAAGAAGCTAGAGATAGGTTGAGCTCACTGATTCGTACTCTTCAAGCCTCCTCTCTTTTGTTAGACAATGGAGACGCTGCTAGTTTCAAGATACATGACTTGGTTTGTGAATTTGTTACCTTGGTTGCTTCAAAAGGTCACCATCTTCTTGTGTTGAAAGATAAAGACAAGTCAGCAACACAGTTGTCCAAGGACAAGCTCAAAAGTTGTAGGGCAATATGCTTTCCCTATGTTGACACGAAGGAGCTTCCCGAAGAATTAGATTGCCCTAAATTGGAAATCTTTTTGTTGTTCAATAACAATGATTCAATTAATGTCCCAGATTCATATTTCAACTCCATGAGAAAACTCAAGGTTTTAAATCTTACTGGGATATGTCTTACCCGTTCACCTTTACTGTTTCAGTTCTTGAAGAACTTACACACTTTGTGTCTAGACGGTTGTTTGTTAGAGGACGTAGCCATTGTTGGTGAGCTAAAAGGGCTACAAATTCTCAGCCTTGTGAATTCCAAAATTCAGCAATTGCCAAAAGAAATTGGGCAACTAGCAGAGCTGAGGTTGTTAGACTTGAACCATTGTTCACAACTTCAGAAAATTGATCCAGGTGTGTTGGGAAGCTTGATCAAATTGGAGGAGTTGTATATGGAGAATAGCTTTAGTCAATGGAATGCCGTGGAGCAAACTCCACCAACTAATGCCAGTCTTATTGAGTTGAATAACATGAAGAAACTCTACACTCTGCATGTATCAATTCCTCATCCGAGTGCCATCCCAGAGGATTTAAACGTCGAGAAATTAACCAAGTATAGAATCCAAATAGGTAATGCGCAGCGCTGGTCAAGCGATTACAGTGGATCGAGGACATTGAACCTTGTGTTGAATAGCGATATTCTTCAGAAAGGATGCATCCAAACTACTTTAGACAGAACTGACGATTTGTATCTGTACGAGTCAAACCGAAATGCACAAAGTATTTGCGAGTTATCCCCAGAATGTTTTCCAAAATTAAAGCATCTACAAGTAGAAAATAGTCCCTCTGTCAATTACATCCTTCAACAACCTTCCTTTACTGCTTTTGAGACATTGGAGTCGTTACTTCTCAAAAATCTCATTAACTTGGAGAAGATATACAATAACTGTATCTCCTCCAAGTCCTTCAATGCATTACAAGTAGTACGAGTTGATAGTTGTCACAAGATGGAAGTTCTGTTTCCTCTTTCATTACTGGGAGAACTTCCACAGCTAAAAGAGATCCGAGTTTTCTCTTGCTACTTAATGCGGGGGATTATAGAAGCTGATGATTATGGCGAAGTTGAGTTGCGTAATTTGCATGTATTGGAATTGCATGATTTGCCTGATATCAAGAACTTTTTCATCGAGATGGCTCCTAAGAGTAGTACATCACACAACCAAGTTGGCACTCAAGTTGCATTCTTCAATGGGCAACAGGTAACTTTCTATCAAAAAATATAGCAATTATTAATCTTTCATTCCTTTGCTATTTAGAAGCAACGTAGATTATTATGCTTATTCATTTTGTTTTTTTTTTTCGATTTATCTTCTTCTTATTTAGCTTATCCATTCATGCCTTCTCTGCAATTAGATAAAGCAATCTTCCGTTTCTTTTTATTGTGTGGAAATCCCGGTAATTGTATGAAATCCATGTAAATTTAGTTTGTGATAGGTTTCGAGTTTTTTTTTACTTACATGCGGCTAGTATATCTGTATTGATATGGTTTCATACAGCAAAATTGAAGGATATTTTGACATTAAAATAATTCCATTGTAAAGTAATTTCATAATCTATGAAGTGGATTCCGCTGAACTTAGTTATCTAACTTGTTATTACCTACTAAACACTGACTCTGGTAAAAACCAATATGAGGAATTAGTAAGAGGACTGGATTTTTAAATAAAAGCACCTGTGCTAATTTAATTGATGCATGTCTATTATGTATCGTTTATTTAAATAAGCACTTAGTCATTGCATAGGCTCCATAATTATAAGAGTACACAAATTTAAGCATGTTCAAGCATGCATGCATACAAAATAGTACAATACACATACATATAGTTGTATGCACTTTTGGCGTCACAAACATAAATCTGCAACTTATGTTTAATATCTCGTGGTCGTAGGCATTAGTGAGTGACGTTGAGGACAAGTTATACTCTCAACATTGCAACCTTTACACAAAACTCCTCAAGCTATCAACACTTCGTCCACTTTTCTCATTTACAAGTGCCAAACATGTGATTTTTCAAGGGTAAAATAGTAATTCTCATTGCTTTTTTTTGGTCAAATCACTTTTTTGTCCCCAATTATTCTTCTCTATCATTGCATTTCTTTTTCCTCATTTGTTTTGTAATTACTTTGGAAAATTTTAATTTATTTTAAAACGCATTCGGAGGCCAATGGATAATTTGACGAAAACAAATGCAGAAGGATTTGCAATTCTATTGTTAAAAAATCACATGTAAAGCACATGCAAATGATAAAATGCACGGAGGGTTGACATCACGAATAAATCAAACTTGAAGGAACAATATAGTTTAGGGGTAAATGTGTTTACCCTCAAAGTTCATAAGGGGTTTTGTGTAGTGTCCCAAACTTTTTTATTTTTTATTTGCAAGTAAATGAATGTTATAATGATCTACATTTGCTTCAGTGAAACATAAGAAAAAAGAAAAAATAAAAGAGTGTAACAATTAAATAGTGAAATAATGAAGAAAGAGAGAGTGGACGGGCAATGAATAACGAGGGCTTGGTGAAAGGCGAGTTTTAATATTGCCGAACGGGCAAATTGGCCAAAATTAGCATGAAAGCTCTAAGATAACTCCATGGCAAGGCCTTTAATTATAATTATCAATATAGTCAATATAAGAGATAAATATAAATATGTTTGGAAAGAAAGTGTCATAGGAATCCTAACAGTTTGGTCATGAGTCGATTGAGTCCTAGATACTTTATTTTGGTGAGTCATCAATATTTTGAAATACATGAAATCAAATTCTAATGTTAATGCTGATTACAAATTTCATCGCAAAAAAATCACGCCATTCTATTTTTCATGAAATTAAGTATGATTCTGACCAAAACAAGGGATAATGTACATAGGTTTGGTACATAATTAAGTGCAAATTTGATTATCATAATTTACTGAAAAATAACTCTCAAATTTATAGTAAGCGGTGAAAAACCATTATCGTTTTCCTAATTCATTTACATAAAATATGAGTTTAATCTTAGTAATTGATTCTCATAATCAACTTTATCGCTCATTTCTAAGGACTTCATGCGCTTTATTCCTTTATTATGGTCAAAATCATGCTTTTAATTTGGTGAATGATTAAAACGAAACGATTTTCAAGCGAATGCTTGGAGTCCATAGTTTAATCTCAACCCACAATTTTGAAGCATCATGCCAAAATACAATTGAGACTCGCGCGATTAATAATGCAATCAAGAGATAGTAGACCATAACATTCATAATATGAATGATTACTGATTCTGTATAATAAACCTTTATAACCTAGAAATCTAACTTTGAGAACCGTCGTAGGCACTTTGATAATTTAGATAATCACAACAATTAATGGCATTTATTTGAAATTGAGGGAGATTAGTTAAAATAGATTAAACTACTAAACTAGTTGGTGTAAAGGTGTTAAGTTTAACTAGCCATGGTGATAATATTAGGAGATCCTTTTGGTTTAGTCTTTACAACAAGTGTCCGAAGATGACATATAATGCAAGTGCGAAATGAGAGGAGCAACTAATTATTTGTTTTATCCATGAAATAATGTTACATGCCGTTGTAGACAAAATTTATGGTCTCGTCTGTACTTTTACGGGACAGTTCCCGAATCCAACGTCAAACATTGGATTTAAAGCAAAGAATTCCACCATTTAAAATGGTTATTAACAGTAATTTACTAACATAGAGATAAGTTAGTAAACTAAGGTTATTTTTGTTTTGCGGAAATCATTTTTTGAAAAAAAAATCTCTTCATTTTTTGGCGTTTAGATCTCTTAGGAAATAACTCAACAGAAAATCTATGCTTAATTTAGGATAATGATTTCCGCTTTAAATATTGGAAATCATTTTCCAAACTATAATTAGATATTGAAGCTTGGAGTAGAAACTCTACATTTTGGCACAGGAATCCCAATTCTCGTTCTTGAGCCCTTGGCAATGGATTCGAGTCTAGAGGTCGAGCCGGGTCCACCGAGGTCCATTGAGGGTAAGCCCTGGTCCTAAGAGGCTAGGCTTGAAACCCTAGTGCCTTGACTCGGGTCCATAGAGGTTGGGCTTGAGACATCAGCACCCTGGCTCGAGTCCATGGAGGCCGGGCCTAAGACTCCAATACTTCTGTTAGGCTCCCTAATGTCCGAGCTTGTTCGAGACATTGGTGCTCGTGTATGGATCCTTAGCACCCAGGATAGGGTCCATGGATGCCAGGCTTAAGTCTACAAAGGCTAGGCATGAGACTCGATGCCTATGCCTCGGATACATCGAGGTCGAGCCTAAGTCCCCAGTGCCTGGTCCTCGGTCCATGGAGGCCAGGCCTAAGTTCACATAGATCAGATCGAGACCCAAGAGCCGTGCCTAGATTCGAGTTCATTGAGGTCGAGCCTGGGATCCTAATGCCCAAGGCTAGGTACCCGGCGCTTAGGTTTCAGACCCCAGCGCCCATGCCCAAATCCCCCATGCCTGAGCTCGGGTTCATTGAGGTCAAGGCCTAGGATTCCGGTGCCCGTGCCTGGGACCAACTCCCCGGCACTCGGGATTGGGTCACTAACTCCAAGGGTTGGGTTTATCAAGGGTGGGCTAGGGATCATGGTGCCGTGCCTGGGTCCATCAAGGCCTGGCCTAGGACCTTGGGGCTGGCGCTCCACCATGGCGCCGAAAGTCGTGTCCATTGAGGCAGAGTCCCCAGCATCCGAGTCCATTGAGGCCAAGCCTAAGTCCTCAGCGTCCACGTTCGAGTCCATCAAGGTTAGGCCCAGGACCCTAGTGCCAGTGCTCAAGTTCACGATGCCTAGGCCATGGTCTATTGAGGCCGGGCCCGAGACCCCAACGATTGGACTAAGCCCGGACTGGACCTGGGTCCCCTGTACTAGGGCATGGGCACTGGGCTTGGCCTTGATGGACCTGGGCATGGGCACCGGGTTCTCAGGCCTCGGTCTTCATGAGCTTAGCACGGGCATGGGGGGTCTAGGCATGGGACACTGGGGTCTCGAGCCCGAGTGCTGGGGACTCGGATGTGAGCATCGTATGCTAGGCCTGACCTCAATAGACCAGGTCCTAGCCTATGTAGGCTCAAGCCTAGGTGCTAGGGACTAGGGCTTGGGCACTGGGGACTTGGGTATTGGCCTCGAGGTCCCGTGCCAAGTCTTGATGGACCGGGACTCAAGTGTTGAGGACCTAGGCACGAGCATTAAGGTCCCGAGCTTAAATCTTTGGCACTCGGGCATCGAGGTCGCACGCTGGGTCTTTGTGGAATGGGGCCTAGTCTCAATGGACTTGAACCCCGGTGCCAAGGATCTGCACATGGGCACTAGGTTCTTGGGCCTAGCTTTTGTGGACTCGAGGATCAGTGCCTATAATCGTGCTCGAGATCTAGGTGGCCATGCCTAAGTCCCCAACGCTTAGGTCGGGGTCAATCGAGGCCAGACTCAGGACCCCGATGCTCGCACCCGATTCTCTAGCTGGGTAAATCATTAATATAAGGAAAATATTTTCTAATTCATTTCCTGGTGTTAGCCAAATACTGGAAAATATTATTATTTTTTTGAAAATGACCTTCTAGAAAATATTTTAAAAAAAGTCACATTTTTCATGAAATAAACAGAGCTAAGGATAAACAACTGTCCAACTAAGAAAGTGCATGCTATTTTGTACAGCAAAAATTGCTGCGAATAGAGCCTTTGACTAAACAAGGTTGCCCTTTTATAATAGTGCGATTATCATCATTGAAGTTGATGGTGGTGCCCAAGGCTCCTGTAATATGTTAGTTTTCCAAAGCTTCGCCTGTGGCTGCTACCCCATCAACAGTGTGGTGTCGACGAAGGCCGGCGGGGTCGCCGGCGCCTCAGCGAGGGCGGCGGCCAGCTCTCCTGCTTGTATTTTTTTGTTTTAAAAAACTTTTGGCTTTCTTATTTTTTAATCTAATTTAACTAAAATTTAGGTTAGAAATTGAGATTTTGATCAAAACGAAGTTGTGTTAGTTCTCTAGTTGACCTTAACACCACATAGGACACCACGTAGGAGAGAGAAAATATTTGAAAAGTCACGCCAGCATTTTCCATCTGTCAAGCTGAACAAAGTTAACAGAAGGACTTGATTGTACCCATTTCATAAGTTTTAGAACTTAATTGCACTCTTTGTAAATTTTAGGACTCTATTACACTTTTGTGATAAATTTTAGGATTTTTGATACACTGATTCCTACAAAAGAAAAAACAAATAGAAACAATGTGCCACTTATGTGATTATACGTACGAGCCGTAGGCCCAGGGAAGTGGATATTAATGATAAGAAGTGTGTAATCATAATGAACTACCAATTACTATCACATGTGAGAAAATACAACATTATTGGATAATTATCAATGACAACATTCTCATGTCGTTGGATGAAAATGAAATATCTTATTGGACATTTTTGGATAAAGATATGATATTTCATGCATAAATTGCTAGTCATTAGCAAACTGAATGAGTGCTGATTCTTGATGATTGTAATTTCCTTTATTGTTAGTAAATTGCAAACAAATATTAATCTCAATAACATCCCTTGTTATGTTGTAAATAAAAAGTAGAGCTCATTAGTTGTATTTTGAGGTCGTAAAGTACCTTTTTGAATTGTAAATTAGCTTTTGTTTATCAACAATTTTGAAGGTTGTAAATCATCTTGCTCGTAAATTTCCGTTAGTAGCCATCCATAGCATGTAAATTTCCTGCCTGTCCTTTGTAATTATAAATGGTATTATTGATGGGTCTATTCATCAGGTTTTAATCCCATCTTTGGAGTCCTTGACAATGGATGGACTTCCTAATCTGAAAAATATATGGAGCGATAAATCTCGATTGAGGTTGAGCAATCTCCGATCTCTCCGAGTGGCGCGGTGCAAATCTCTCTCGAAGGTTATCAACTCTATGTCGTTGATAAAACTACACAAGTTACACACTTTAAATGTAGCACAGTGCGATTTGGTGCAAGAAATCTTTGATGTTGTCGAACCGAGCGCTAGTGGAAATATTGAGACTCTTGAGCTAACCAACTTCTATTTACATCGATTACCGAGCTTGAGGCACATATGGAGCAAGAACCTCTGTGGAATAGTGGGATTCCATAAATTAAAGAAGTTGGAGGTGTCTGGTTGTGACAACCTTGGGTTCCTGTTGTTCCCATCAATGGTTCAATCAATCGCACAATTGAGAGAACTAAGGGTATGGAATTGCAAGAAGATGGAGGCGATCATTATGGAGGAAGAACAGTTGGGAATGGAAACATCAGAAACTCTAGCATTTCCAATGCTGACATGTTTAAGCTTTAGTCGTTTGGAAAATTTGACGTGCTTCTCTCGCAAAAAGTGTAAGATTGGTTTTTTGTTTTTATCATTGATGACTTTCTTGTAGATAGATTGATCCCTACAAAACAAATGGTGATATTTTTTTCATCAAATGAAAAATCGATGGCAGGTTCACAAGCTGCTCAGAGTCAGGAGCATGTCAAATCATACTCTACTGCCCTCTTCAATCGAGAGGTACATGTTTAATTTTAAGTCATGATATTAAATATAACAGACAATTAGGAAGTTTCAATTCACACCAATCCCAAGAAAGAAAGAGTTGGATCAGTCACATAAAATATTAAAAAATTATGAAAAAAGATATAGGCGTATAAATAATTATTATGCCCATCCAACCGAATAACTAAAATTAACAAATAGATAGTTTACTGGAGACAAAGCATAGCCAAAATAAAAAACTTACTTACAAAGCCTACCACGGTTAAAATTGATTAAGTTTCACATAATCACTACATCCTAAGATCTGAATAAGTCAAAGTAAAGTTACAATTCAAATTGTACTTTTACATTCTAATTCATGTAAAGTCGAGTCACTACAGATAAAGAAGTTTGGATACTTAATCTTCAATAAGCTTACTAGTTAACTCTCAAATTATGGGGTTAATTTCACTCTTGGTGACTGAATAGTAATGGATTTTGTAATCTGGCCATTGAACTTTAATTTTAATCACCTAATGTAATAAAAATTTCATTTCTTCATAATTTGGGCACTTGGACCAAAAATCCGAAATTTCCCGGTGAACAATAGACGTGGCAGACACGTTGCCGATTTTTTGAACATGCCATTGTTGCCACGTCCTCATTAAATCAACATTTCACTGGAAAATCTATGTAAGTATATTATCATTGGGTATTCCTTAGTAATGCCCAAAATGAGAATCACTAAGACTTCTAAATTGCGAGATCATTTTCCTATGTCATATAATAACGAATAGTTAGCAATCCTCAGCTACATTTTGATTGTGGCTCAATGTCTTTAGCACTTTTCTTTTATTGCATCAATTCAATGACTTCGAACTATATAAGTATATTCTTTAGATAAATTAGTCCTCATTCTTAGTCAATTTATTAAATTGTGCCCAGAAAACGTATGGTGTTCCTTGAAGAATTCATCCATATTGTGACTTAATAACCGTCTCTTAGTTATTTAACAATTGCTACAAATGTAAGCTGTATCATTATTCGGACTGGTAAAAAAGGCACACGTATATGTAGGTGCAAAAGAGAAAGAAAATGAATACAGTGATATAAAGTCTGGTTTGATTAGTTTACGAAATAAACTACATTGAAGAGAGAGAAAGATTTGGTTTAAATTTAGAATCTATGAATGATGTATGAGCATATCCAAATGACCATTTTGCCCATTGTTAAAGATATATGATTAGTTTTCATTAGACACTGGCCATGCATATTATTTGAACTTTTTGGGCCAAAATTTGAGGTTGAAAGTATTGTTGGGTTTGCTTTGTTTGCTTTGTTATATAGAGAGATAAACGACGCTCCACTTGCTAACCCATTTTTGACCTCAAGATTTGTACTAACCAGATAAAATTGGCTCGCTAGCTAGGAATGATTGGCTCCAACGTGGTTCGTTTCCCGATTTGGAATTGGGAATCAACCCGGCTACGAACCGTTCAAAATAATTAGTAATTGACCGTCTACTTTCTTACGTCTCCTTGGGACCCAAAGATACATTTCCATAGGCAAGTGTACAGAGAGAGAATTGACACGCACTACTAGGTCTTGATGCTCCATTTTCCTTCTATTATTAACATTATATAACTATTTGGGCTGCACTATTTTCATCCCTTATTTGATTAAATTCACCCAATTTTTACAAATTTTTTTTTTCTCTCAATCATTCAATTGCAATTTAAAGTGATGGGCCCAAATTTGCTTACTTTCCTTTTTTTAGGTTTTCTGTTTCTATGTAAGATTTAGTTACCAAAAAGACAAAATTCCCATGCATATTAAAAGGCACAATATTTTTTTGATTGTTAGATTTTACTTCTATAAAAATTAGTTTTGTTGGAAAGAGAAATTTCCAAGAAAGCTGGTTCCGTTCTACGTTGTTGATCAAATTTATGAATAAATTGTCAAGTAGAATGTAGAAGTAAATTAACATATAATTTTTTAGCACAATCATTTGTTTATAAATTTTCACTTTTGTTGTGCACGTCATCATCACATTGCATCTTATCGGTCTTCTATGGGATGATCGATGAAGCAAAAAAATTTCTTTGAAGATTTTCCAAAATAAATCACAATTAAATTCTCAAATGGGAAACTTTAAAGTTGAAATTTAATTAAATCAAAACATTGCATAATATAAGAATTTTTTTAAAATGCCAATGAAATCTCATTATTTTTATTAACAAAAATTAATATCATCTATAAAGTGTTTTTGAAAAGATATCAAGATGTCTTATCATGCATAATATTTTTAGTTTATTCCTAGATATTTCTATAACATCTTGCATGCTTTGTGTAAAAATATCTCGTCAACAGTAAGAGAAAAAGATAAATTCTTTAATATAGTTAGTAAAGAGACTCGATATATATTTTAGACTAATGAATTTAAAAATTAAAAATTCACCAAGAAAGTGAGCTTTTTGAGATAAGAGAAACAAAGAATAGATAAATTATTATAAGAGCAATGATGAAAAAGATACCTTTGAGTTTTTTACTATATCAAAGGATTTGCCTTTTTTCCTTACTATTGGCGAGATGCTTTTACACGGAGTATGTAAAATGTTATAGGAATATCTAGGAAGACACTTAATAAAATTATTTAATACCTTAAAATAAAACATGTGAAATGCTTAATTATGGTAACTTAGAAATAGAAAAAAAGAAGGAATGGGATCATCACTTTGCAATTGAATGATTGAGCCTTATTTTATCTTTTTAGTGTAAATGGGGAGATTTTTCATACAAGAGGTGGAAATAGCGCCGCCTTAACTATTTTTTTTTTTTTTAAATGAATGGGTTTTAACTTCTATTCTTTGCTGTAAGTCACTTTTGTTTGCAATAAAGGTTATAATGTCCAACCCCTAATCACGGTCGTCTTTGTGGAATCAAAAGACGTCAAGTCTCTCGGTTGGAACTTAACACTACAGATCTGGAGGACGTAGAAAAGCGATGCCGACGTCGACCAGATTGTTTTGGAGGAGGTTGACCTCCAGATCTGTCTACTCTTTGATCGCCTTCAGCTACTCCACGCTCATCTTCTCCATCTCCATAGCCACAACTCACTTTGTGGCTGTCGTTTCTCTCCCTCTCTCCTATCTGTTCCTTCTTCTCTCTCTCTAAGTCCCAAAATGAGCATTAGATTTATAGCCGTTTCCATCAATTTGGTTTTGTCCGGTTCTATACAAAGAACCAAAAACCGGACTGGTTATTGCTAGTTCCAAATTTTTTGGAACCGGGACCGGTGTTCACCCCTATCAAATTTGGAACCGAGATTGGTGCTCATCCCTATGACTAATCAAATTAAGCTCTTCAATGCAAGCCCAAGAATCGATGCTCACCCCAATCACTAATCAAATTAAGCTCTTCAATGCAAGTTATTGTTTGAAGGAAAGACTGGAGAAAGATTTCTTATCTTTTTTTTTTTTTTTTGGTAAGGTCAGATTCCTTATCTTTCTTTATAAGTAAGAGTTTTAGAAAATTAGAAGCAACATTAGTATGGAGATTTTTTACTCCTTTTGATTTTATTCTTTTTTTTTCCTTTTGTGCAACTTAATAATTTATTCTATAGCACCTTACCAAAAAAATAATTTATTCTATAGCAAAGGATTGCACGACTCTCTTCTGTCGTTGTGCAGGGCCGCACTTGCGCCACGGTTTACTTACCACTGATAAAAATTAGCGTGCTTTATGATTTTACAACTTATTTATCTTGAGCGACTATATGCAAGAATGAATGGTCTCATGCTACAATTAGTATCATCATCCTTAGTGATTTTTTAGAGCATAAAATGGACTTTCTATTTAACCTTTGAAGTGTGATTTTATCTGATGGGGAATGCCTCAAATCTTCGATAATCCAGACAAGTGAACTGAAAGGTCATTTGACTCATTTGAAATGTTTACATGATTCTTTTACTATAAAATAATTTAGTAAGTTTGCGAGCATCAGCCAAACCAACACGCCCTTTTTACTTGCTTGAAGACGCTGAGGTTATTATGGTGCCATCTTCTTTCTTTTTTTATTATTACCTTCCACGCTTAACGGAAACAAACAGTCACAACTAGAGTGAGTGACAGGCACTTTTCTATAATTTACATCTTGGAAGTTCATGAATCATAATTTAACAGATCACCAATTCCGTGAGCAAATACTGCAGGTTGCGTTTCCTAGCATGGAGACATTAGACATCACTGGCATGGATAATATCGAGATGATATGGGACAATCAAGATGCCGCAGATTCTTTCCACAAACTAAAATCGCTATGGGTGTACGAATGCAATAAGCTAAAGTGTGTATGGGATAAGGAACTCTACCGTCGTGTTAAATTCAAGTGTCTACGTTCTGTTAACATTTCCAAATGCAAGAGCCTCGCCTCTCTTTGTCCAGCCTCAGTAGCCAGAGATCTAATACAACTTGAGGAGTTGGAGATCAGTGAATGTGGCATTGTGGAGCTCATCGAGAACGAAGGACTAGTTCCTAGGTTTGAGTTCCCAAAGTTAACATCCCTCGAGCTTAAGCATCTACCAGAGTTGAAGTGCATCTACACCGGAACACATCCTCCACATTGGCCGGCATTGAAGACTTTGGAAGTGCATGGCTGTAACAAAGTTGAGATACTTGCTTCGCAACCTAAGAATGAGATGACGCTCCAGCCTCTCTTCTTGATAGAAAAGGTATGACCCATGATTATTTTTTTTTGCTTCGATGGTGAATATTTGAAGTAATGATTAAGCTCACAACCAAGCATCTCACACAAGTATCTCTGCATACAAAGATGTAAACTGTACGACTGTCCTTGAATCTATAGGAATATTACAACATTGAAACCTCATATGTTCTTCAAGTATTGATTAAACATTTTTGTCAATGTCTGATGTATCAAATGCATACCTTTTGATCCCCCCTTAAAAAAAGTTTTAGGCTAATTCCGATGGTTTAGCTCTGTCATAAGTACCACACAGATTGAAAACACGTGGCATGTGGGTTGATCTTACTATGTCACAAGTGTGTTATCTAATTTGAACCCTATAAAGATGACTGATGTTATGCTCGAATCGGAAAGATGGGATGTCTTCGTGGACATTTATCTCTGCAATTTGCGCACTTGTGATTACAATTGATGGAGAAGTTACCACCGATGAAAATTAATCTTACCATGGCACCAGTGTGTTTTCTTCGTCATTGTGGAGGGCTCCGCTCGCACAATGGTTTAGTTACCACCGATGACAATTAGCATGCACCACGATTGTACAACTTATTTAACTTGAGCAACCATATGAAAAAATGAACGGAATCATGCTATAATTAATACCATCATATCTAGTTCTTTGTTTATTATTTAGGGTATAAAATGGACTTTTTTTAACCTTTGAGGTGTGATTATATCTAATAGTGAATGGCTCAAATCTTCGATAATCTAGACAAGTGAACTGAAAGGTCAATTGATTCATAAAATGTTCACATAATTCTTTTAATGTGAAATGGTTTTTTTTAAGCTTTTGAACATCAGAACCAACACGCCCTTTTGACTTGCTTGAAGACGCAGAACTTATTATGGTGCCATCTTCTTTCTATATTTATTACCTTCCTCATCTAATGGAACCAAACAGTCACAACTAGAGTAAGCGGCACTTCTACATTTACATCTGGGAAGTTCACGATTTTGTAATTTAGCTAAATCACCAATTCCGTGGGCAAAAATTGCAGGTTGTGTTTCCTAACTTGGAGACATTGCATATCACTAGCATGGATAACATGGAGATGATATGGGGCAGTCAAGTTGCTGCGGATTCTTTCCACAATTTAAAATCGCTTTGTGTGCATAAATGCAATAAGCTAAAGTTTGTATTGGATAAGGAACTCCACCGTCAAGTTAAATTCCAGCGTCTAGGTTCTGTTAGCGTTTCCAGATGCAAGAACCTCACCTCTCTGTTTCCAGCCTCAGTAGCCAAAGATCTAATGCAACTTGAGGAGTTGGAGATCAATGAATGTGGCATTGTGGAGCTCATCAAGAACGAAGGACTAGTTCCCAGGTTTGTGTTCCCAAAGTTAACCTCCCTCAAGCTTAAGCATCTACCAGAGTTGAAGTGCATCTACACCGGAACACATCCTCTACATTGGCCGGCATTGAAGACCTTGGAGGTGGATGGATGTAACAAAGTTGAGATATTTGCTTCACAACCTGAGAATGGGATGCCACTTCAGCCTCTCTTCTTAATAGAAAAGGTACGACCTATGATTACTTGTTTTGCTTTGATGGTGAATATTTGAACTGATGATTAAGTTCACAGCCTAGCATCTCACACAAGTAGCTCTGCATACAAAGATGTAAACTGTACGATTCTCCTTGAATCAATAGGAATATTACAACATTGAAACATCAATGTCTTGATGGATGAAATGTATACCCGTTGATCCCCCTTAGAAAAGGTTTTAGGCTAATTCTGATGGTGTAGCTCTCTCTTAAGTACAACAAAGATTGAAAACACGTGGCATGTGTGTGATCTTACCACGGCGCCAGTATGTTATTTAATTTGAACCCTCTAAAGATTACTGATATTATGCTAAACATAGAAAGATGAGACATTTTGATTGATATTAATCTCTGAACTTTGTGCAATTTGTGATTATAATTGATGGAGAAGTTATTTTCATCAGGGATATATCTATCGAAACGTGAATGTAAGGAGTTGCTTAAGTTCAAATATGGATACAAGTCAAATATAAAAGATCAGTAATAATGTTTATTTGTTGAGGGCACGTTTCCTTCTGTTGAATCCCATGAGATGCAAAATCATAAAATGCAGTTATTGTGTGTGATATGCAGCTATTGTACCACAATACAAAAGTAGTCTTCTAACTAACCCGACTTTAAATTCTGATTTGACTACTTTCTCAGGGCGCATTCTCAAAATTACAAGAGTTAAAATTGGATTTATCCGGACAGATAGAGATATATCACGGGCATTTTCATGATGAAGAATTCTTCTGCATGCTTAGAGTTCTTGAGCTTCGTCATATGTCGAAGAAATCAGCAATATCCACATGCCGTTTTGTTCAGAGTTTAACCAACTTGGAAAAGCTAGTTGTACGTGAATCTTATCTGGAAGAGCTGAGCACCAATCTGGAAGCCATAGAAGACCCAAGTCATGAGCTAAAAGTAATATTACCCTGTTCAAGATATATTCAACATCTAAATACTCTAGATGTGTCACATTGTGATGTGTTGTCAAATATGTTCACACCGATAGTAGCCAGAAATTTGGTGGAACTCACAAAATTGAGGATAAGTAATTGTAAAATGTTGAGAGAGGTCATTAATGACGAGGGTGATAAGGAGGGACATGTAGTGGCTTTCAATCAATTGAAGTATGTGGAGCTTGATGGGTTGACAGGGTTGAGATGTTTCAGCTCGGGTGGATACACTTTGATGTTCCCTCTCTTGGAAGATGTTATTGTGACTCGATGTCTCAACATGAAGTTCTTCTCCGAGGGACGAATAGAGGCGCCAAAGTTGGAAAGAGTACATGTATCAAAAGGAGAGTACTTTTGGAAGGGAAACCTCAACATCACCATCCAAAATATATTTGAAGAAATGGTATGCATCAGTCACCAAATTCTGTGCAATTGGATGGTTTTGATCACCAACAAAGTAATTGTTTTTTGCTAATTAGAATTTTTATGTTTAATGACACATTTTTTTACAGGCTACGGTTTCCGAAGTAGAGTTTATACGGCTTTCTGAGTTCCCGGAGCCAATTGAAAAATGGCACAGCAAACTTATTCCCATCAAGTCAACTTGGGAATTAGACACACTGATGGTGGATAAATGTCCATCATTTATAAATGCTATTCCGTCTAGATTGATGCTTGTTTTAGATAATATGGAAGCACTGCAAGTGTGTGATTGCGAGTCGCTAAAAGAAATATTCGATCTTGAATGCCTGGAGTCTGTGGAAATCACTCGGGTGCTGCCTAGGTTAATTCTTTTGAACTTGGTCAATCTACCAAAGTTGAGGCGACTATGGAACAAAGATCTTCAAGTAACTCTGCGCTTCAATTCTTTAGTTGCTCTGACTTTTTATAATTGCAGCAACTTAAGACATGCTTTCGCTCCAATGATGGCTCGGTGTCTTGCCAATCTTAGACGAATGGAAATAAAAGAGTGTGGTCAGATGGAAGGAGTGATCGCAGAGGAAGAGGGGCAGGGAAGCTCAATGGAGAATATTATATTCCCGGATCTGGAATACTTGGAGTTGGAATGCTTGCCCAATTTGATATGTTTCCTGTCGGGGAATAATCATACGCTTGAATGTCCCGAATTAGTAGGGCTGACCATTGCCCATTGCCCCAAGATGAGAAGTTTGACTTGGCAATCTGTAATGGAGATTGACCATGGCAGCCCTTCACTTTTCACTCCCCAGGTCAGTCTTTTATTTTTATTTTTTTAAGATTAATCATCTTGTACATCTCCATATCATTTTAGAAGTGTTATTTTTGTGTCAGCTCATAAAATCATCTCATGCGCGTTACTTAATAACCACATCAAAATATTTACTCTTTAAAATTTGAACCGTAAAGTAGTGAACATAGAATAGCGTCTAAAAATGGCAAAACGATTTCCGTACAGCCACTTCATATTTTCTTGCTTAGAAGGAAACTTACCTCATTCTATTGAACATGGACGATCTTCCTAGTAAATCAAAAGCAACACCTCCAAAGACTGCAAAGGAGGGGAAAAGAAAAGAAAATAATCAGAATGAAGTACCTCCAGTTCCAAAGACTTCAAAATTGGTGCGGATGCATAAACATGAGAAAGTTTTCAAAGTCTTCAAGAAATTGTTTTCTCGAAGAAGGTAAACTGACAACAACTTCCATGTTCAAACAACTGCAATTTCAAAATTCACCAATTTTTTTTTTTTAATTCATTCGACTTTATTTTGGAGAGGTTGCCGTCAAAGTAGAATTATAAGGAAAATATAGGTACATATCATCGTCTAATTTTCTGAAAAACAAAAATCATATTTCAAATTTATTTTGATTGAATTCAGTGAACACATACGAACGGATCAGGTTAGTCTTTTTTCTTTCCTTTTCTTTTGGCTTTTTTTTTGTTACAAATTTTATACAGGTTTTTATTATTGCTTTCTTTTCTAATGAAGGAATTGCTTGTGCCATTTCTTATTCTAAAGCTTTTCCCCAATTCTTTTTTTATTTTTTTGGTTATTTGTGAATAGAACATTTCATCATAACGAGTATCCACACATTTAATCACTTTTTAATCATAAAAGTTATCACTAGTTATGCATTTATTTGTCATATATGATTTGCCATGTAACAATAGGTATCCATACATTAACAGAATAATCAAAAGCTCATCATAACCCTCAATTTAGAACATTAATAAATTTAGGGAAGTGCGGAAATAGTCATTCTATTTTTTGGTTGTGACGAGTCGAAATTATGTTAATTTGATTGTAATCGAATAAAAAATATCAATACTCAGCTTCTTAATGGACAAGTCGTAAGAGGTCATAACATGGTTGATTTTCTCCGAACAAACATCATGTGGTCATAGGGATCATTTGATTGAGGCGGATACCTTGGTAGCCCATTCGACACTTGCATGACAAACTTGTCTTTTTCCATGGTCTGTGGACTTAGAGAATTGTGGGATAATGCATTTGGTAATTGAGGTGGAAACATGTCCTAATTTCAGTAATTTCATCATAAACGAAAGGAGAATTCCGTATAAAATCTTTAATGAACAATTCATAACAACTCATGCCATGGTTTCATTTTTTTCTAGTTCCACAGTCTATATTGTCATAACATATTTCATTTGTACCTGAGGACCAATCCCGTTTGTCTAGGGATCCTTGCTTGCGGGAGAAATTTGCCTTAAAATTTAATGTCGCGAAATTTAAGAAATTACAAAAGTATTCATTTGGTATTTGAGGTCGTAATTGCGTTCTTTGTGTTATAACTCAAAGAGAAATGTTCTACTATCTTTTCTGTGCACGAGTATTGACAAGAACACAAAACCATAAGCTAATTCATTTTGTCGCACCGTATTTCATGCTTGTTGCAATGCAAAACACTTGGCCTTAGCTATCGGTCAACTGAAATAAAAGTATCAATCAAGTCTCCCCTGTTTGTGTTACTAACAAGCTCTCGAATCGTCATGTTTTGTGAGAGCTAGGGAAGTTTGCAAATTCCATTTTTGTGGTCATAATTCAATGTAATCACATTCATTGTATTGTATTAATCAATATGGCAGGTACAATTTTCTCGGCTTGAGTCGATGGTTCTTTCCCACATGGACAATTTAAGCAAAATATGGACCGATGGTCCTCAAGAAACTCTCACTTTTGACCATTTACGGGAAGTGGAGGCTCTAAATTGTAAGAGCCTTGGAAATCTGTTTTCCAATTGGGTGGTTAAAAGTCTAAGCCAACTCAAGAAACTTCGAGTAGAATCTTGTGGGCTTGAGGAAATAATCACAAGTGGATATGACACTCCACACTCTACTATTGCTCAATTCCTTTTCCCGAATCTAACATCTCTGGTGTTACATGATATGCCGCAACTCAAGAGCTTTTGCCCTAACTTGCCCACTTTGAACTGGCCATCCTTGAAGGAATTGCGAGTGACTCACTGTGACAAACTGAACATGTTGTCCTTTGAGACATCCATGAACAAGTGGACTCAAAGAGACGATCAATGGGACCTTTTAGACCAAGATGCACATTCTTCATTTGAGAGGGTATGATTACAATTGCTCTTCGTTAGTTTCTATGTTTTTCTTTAATGCACTCACTAATCTCATGTCCACAGCATAGTCATGTCCTATCATCATACTATACAAAATATGATATCCCTTGACCATCAGTTTGTCGACAACATAAGATATTTCTAATATCTAAAGTATACTTTTCGTTTGGGGACACATATTGCATTACCTAGAATCACAGATACAATTACAAATTGTTGTTGACAATATAAGATATTCCTAATATAATTTGATTAAATATAATGTATGGCAGTGCTCCTTGGCAAAGTTAATGATGACTTGACATGTGGTCCTCTCCATTATTGACTCATCTCACTATTGAACTTTTCTTCTCTTTTTCATTTCTACAAACTCTAAAAGAATAAATTCAAACAATTCTATTTTTTTTTTTCGAAAAAAATAACATAAGAACCTTATTTCACTATATTCTACTTTGTTCTTAATTTGCCCACAATATTTCATGTCCACTGCATAGTCATGACACATTATGATACTATAGAAAGCTTGAAATCCCTTACCTATTGATTTGTAGACAACATAAGATATTTTCTAATATCTAAGCACATTTTTTAGTTTGTGGACACCCTGTATGTTTTAGTAACACTATGAATGCATCCCATTGCATAAAATTACAAAGAACAGCAAATTAATGTCGACAACATAGATATTTCTAATAAAAGATGAATTTGGTGAGCTGGGTGGTTCTTGAATTTAGATTCACTCCACCAACTTAACCGTATCAAGTTGTACTTAAAAAAAAATTATTCAAGTTTTCGATATGGATGGCTATAGTGGAGCATTCTGTTACAGTTGTATTTTATAGGATGACTTCAAAAGCTTGACACGTGTATGTAGGGCTCTTGAAATTTAATGAACTATAAGAAGATGGTCACCTTCCTTGCGGTATGTTTACCTTTTACAGCACATGATTTATTACCGAACCTCTAAAAAAATTATTTCTCTCGTGACAGGACTTTCCCAACTTAGAGAGACTTTTATTAGTCGATAAAGATATTCGGATGATACAGGATGAAGAAATTCCTAATGACACCTTTGGCAAGCCAAAAGCACTAACATTAGCATGTTTTCATGATGAAAGGGCCATCTTTCCTCTCAGATTCCTCCTAGAGAGATTTCAAAATCTACAAAGCCTTGAAGTCTTCTGTAGTTCCTTTGAAGATATATTCCCCGATGAAGGGCTTGTTGACAAGGGAAACCATCTGGTGCTCGGAAATTTAAGAGAACTTAAGTTGAGCAAGCTATGCAACCTAAAGCGTGTGTGGCGAAAAGACTATTTAGCGGAGAAAATTCTTCAAAGTATTGAAATTTTTGAGGTTTGGGGTTGTCCCGGTTTGACAGAAATATTTCCATTCGGGACATCCTTCCAAAATTTGACGGAATTAGTGGTGAAGAATTCCTCAGGATTGGTACATCTAGTAACAGTTTCAGCGATTACAAATTTGGTGCATCTCACTAACATGACTGTAATAGGATGTGAAAGAATGAAAGAAGTAGTGACAAATGATGGAAAGGGAGAAGGAAAAGTGATTTCTTTTGGGAAGTTAGAAAGATTGAGACTCCAAAATCTGTCAAGTCTCGTATGCTTCTCCTCCACCACAAGTTGCGGCTTCAGGTTTCCATCCTTGTTTGATATTGTAGTGGAAGAGTGCCCGAAAATGAGGATCTTTTCTAAGGGTGAGCTATACACACCAAGCCTAGAGTACGTGACACTGTTCAGATATATCTTGGACAATGACTGGGAGGGTGATCTCAATATAGCCATACAAAAGTTGACAGCATAAACAAATGCACATAAAATTAGTAAGATCCAATTATTATCATTCTCATCATTTTTATTTTCGTTTGCCTCTGCTTCTCCAATTATCCGACACCTTAAGCACCCTAAGTTCTAAATTTCTCATCTTGTTACTTGTCTAGCCACTGAGAAAGGGAATGGCAGCTGCTGCAAGTGGTACAGAGATTTGGAAGTGACGGAGGCACAGTTAAAGGTTGAGATCAATAAAATTTCTATTGACGTAGTGATTCTATTTCCAATTTCCCTGTTTCTCACTCATTTTGCTGGTAAGCATGTTCTTTTTTCGGGGATCATAAAATATAGTATTTGAAACAGAGGAGTGTGTTTGGGCCTGTGTATTAAATCTCAGCACAAATTATTCCATAGTCCCATTGGTGGACCGGTCCTTTTTTAAGCAGTAACTTTTCTAAATTCTTTCTTAATTTACCTAAAATTATTGTAAGGTCGGTCGCACCTGTAATTAGTGATTTAACTTTATAAGTAGTGATTTACTTGTAGTTGTCCTAACTCGTTTGCACTTATGATTTGTAATTTACCTTTATGGAGGGTAATTTAACTAGAATTCATAACATGACAATGCTAATACTTAATAATTAACAAATAGTGTAGAACTATACTTAAAAATCTTCGTAAGCGATGGCACAAATGCTTATTGAGTGTCCCAAATGACCATTCTTCCCTGTAAATGGGGAAAAGAAAAGCAAATGCCAGCCACGTATGAGCAGATCCCTACACTCTGGCCTTTTCGAGAAATTTCAGTACTCCTTCGTTTCTTCTTCAGTCATGCTGTTACATCTGATCAGCATCGTCAACCCCATCGATCTGGCCTCCATAAACGAAAGTTTATCCAAAAGGAAAGGATTCCCACCGTTCCCTGAAGATCATGGCTTCCAGTCGTCGTCGTGGGTGGAGAGGAGACGAAAGTGTGATGCCGGAGATTGCACCGCCAAGCCTGGACAGTCCTCACTTCTTCAATATCATACTCTGTCCCAGACTTGAATCCGGCAAACTCGTAGGTTCACGCTTCTTCACACATCAGTTCTCTGGTCTGCCAGATTTTCTTCCCATTTTCGTGTCTTATTGCCTGGAAATTAGTAGAAGTCGGAAGCTGGTTTCGTAAACCTTCCTCAATCGCCGTCTTCTTCAGCTGCTCTCTCTCTCTCGCCAGATATCCCCCCTGTTTCTTTGTTTTTTACTTTGCTGACGCGATGCTTCATAGGCCGCCACATCACCCTTTATCATATTATCCAGGCCACATCAGCAATTTAACATCGTTGTGTGCGAGAAATTTTTTTTTTACACCCAGAGCTGGTCACTTCACTGAATTTCAGTCTTCCTGCCCCCAAAAGATTACAAGGCCTCAAACGACAAAGATGGAGTGAAATCGCATACCCTAAATGAATGCAGCACTTAGTTGTTGTGCACGGCACGCTCTACAAAAGAAAGTTCGGGAAAATTCTTGCGAAGTTTGAGGCACTTTTACAATCCGTGAGATCACAAGTTATTTGCAACGAGCCCTCAGTAGCATACATTGATCCGAAGGTGTCTAGTTGCTCTGATTCGACGGGGGTTGATAACCAATCTCTTTATTCGATTGTTGTTAGCTTTACAGTTGGTTATTCATGTTCACATGTCCTAATCGTGTTTTCTAATCGTGTCGAGTCGTATCATTAAAAAGCATCATATTTTTATAATTTAGCTATAGAATAAATGCATATTTAATATGTGTCAATTCGTGTTACTTTCGGGTTTGCCATATAATCATGTATAAGCTTGTTAATTTGTTTTAGAAATTGCTGGTCCTAGTTAGCTTGCATGACAACTAGGGGTATGCAAAAGAATTGGGACTCGCCCGGATTGCCCGGGTCCGCCCGGAACCGGATCGGAACCAGTGGTTCCCAAAGGAACCGATCTGGTTCCCGGCTCCAATATTTTGGAACTGGTCGGTACTGGTCTGGTTCCCGATTCCCGATTCCCGGTGTGGAACCGCCTACCCAGACTGGAACGTTAATATAATAATAATATATATTAATTTTTAATTAAAAAATCTAACCAAAAAATAAAAAAAGAAAAAGAAAATAGAGAGTTGTTGGGGAGAAAAATAGCAGAAGTGCCAAAACTTGTGTATGTCGCTCACTTTAATGCCAAAAGTTTTTTTTGGATCACTTCAATGCCAAAATTTTTGAAAAATGCTCATTTCAGTGCCAACTCCGATCAGTTTGGCCGGAAATCCAACGTGGCCTTTTTTATTAGTTTCTTCTGCCGACGTGGCTCGCCGGAGAGTCCAGTCAGCATCGTATCCCTAAAATGATGCTGTTTAATACTCTTTCTCCCAAATAAGAACCATACATCCCCAAATTGAAAGAGAATCCCCCAATTTGCAACCCTAACCGGCCATCTTCTCTCCAATTGAAACCCTATTTTGATTCGGCCCCAAAGTTACGAGCTCAATCTTGCAAATGGAGAGTAGCAGCTTTGGCAGTGACTCAAATTCATTTCAATGAAGCGAACAAGAGGCCGAATGTTACTGTTTTTGCTGGTTACCGAGTCCAATAAGAACATCTTGGACTCGGTTGAATCCTAGAAGAAGATTTAACGGTTGCGCCAAATATAGAGAAGGCTCGAAGTGTAAATATTTCAAATGGGTTGATGTAAAATTCTCCGGTCGAGCGACAAAGGTGATCTTGGAGCTACTTAAAGGACGCCATCAACCTCCACCTACATTAATGGATGAATTGGAGGATGTGGACTCAATGCAAGCTGAAATGAAGGCTTTAGTATCTCTGGCCAATCATTTGAAGAAGGAAGTTTTAAGGATGAAAATTGAAAGGAAGTTTTATCAAGCATTGATTGTGTTGTTATTCTGTTGTGTATCCTATTTTATGGTCAAATGTAAAGCGAGTGATGAGAAGAAGTTTCTCAGTCTACCATAATTGAAGATAAGTGGAATATGTACTTGTATTGGGTAATTTGTAAGTATAGTTGTATTAGCCTATTTTGTATGGAATAAAAGTTTGCTGCAATCTATGGTGGAAATGGAAGGTTGAAATTTATTGGTTGTGAGCATTTACAAGTTCTCTTGCCTAGTTGTGTATTTTCAATTTTTATTTGCTTAGTTTTGCTTGAAATGTTTGGATTGCTGCAATGGTTTGCTGGTATTGGTGGTAATTGTTTGCTGCAGTGTTTGCTGGTAATGGGATGCTGGTTTGCTGCAATTGTTGCTGCAAATGCATGTCAAATGAAGGAGTGATACCAAGTTCAGAAGTCCTTATTTCAGTGTCATACATTGTAAATAGCGATCATTTGAGTGCCAAGTTTTTCTAAAACTTATCATTTAAGTGCCAATCGTGGTCAAAACTGATCACTTAAGTGCTAGTTATTGTTAAAAAGTGATTACTTAAGTGCTAGTTGTTGATATATTTGTTTCACTGATACTGCACCAGCAACAAGCAAATTGCTGGTGTGCTTGCTTGCACCAACTATGTGTGGGTACAGAGTGCATCTTGTGCTTGCACCAATACATAGCTGGTGTAAGCATAAGATGCCTATGAGCTACACCAACACATAGCTGGTGGACTAGCGCACCAGTAGCTTGCACCTCGTACCAGCATATATAACTACTGGTGCAAGCTGTGCACCAGCCACCAAGTACCCTTATCGCCAAGCCTTGCATTAGCCAAGCACCAGCAACACCTCTACCAAGCGCTGCACCAGCACAACCACCAGTACCAGCACCAAATCCTGCATCAGCCAAGCACCCTAAACACCTTCACCAAGCACTATATCAGCCAAGCAATAGCACCACCAGTGTGCCACCACCATCACCAGTGCACCACCAGCACCACCAGTGCACCACCAGCACCACCAGTGCACCACCATAACCACAGCACCACCACCACCTATACCAGTCAAGCCACACTACCACCATTACAGCACCACTTAGACCAGCCAAGCAACACCACCACCACTGCATCACCACAACTACAACACCACCACCACCTATACCAGCTAAGCAATACCACCACCACTGCACCACCACAACCACTGCACCACCACCACCTAAATTTGCCAAAACAACACCACCACCTAAATTTGCCAAAACAACACCACCACCACCAATGTACTAGCACCAGCACAACACCAGCACTACTGCACCACCACTATCACTGCACCACTACCACCACCATTGCACCACTACCACCACCGCATCGTTACCACCACCACTGCACCACCATCACCAATGCATCACCACCATTACTACTACACCAGCCAAGTACAACTAAAACATCCAGCACAACTGGCACACCAGCAGCACAACTAGCACAATCAATAACAAAATATGGAAATTTCAAAAGCATAGACAAAATAAATATCGGTCCATTGACATTAAACTTAGGTTTTACATTTAGTCAATATGAATAATCAACTAAAACATCCACATCCAGGCAATGGCTTCCCACCAAACAAAAATATTAAACTGAGTCAATGCCGTACAATGTCAATTCCACGAGTCAATATGCATAACCTCCCAACAAAAATAAAAACTACCACATTTAGCACTCTCCCATCAGTCAATATGAACAACCCCCAGTTCCTTTTTCCTTTAAATAGACGTTTGATTTGATTCATGATCCTTGTACTCTTTCAAACTAGATGTGTAGATTCTTCAACTAGCCTTGCTGTCCCATGTACCTTCTTAGCAGCTGCTATTTTCTTTGTAGGTCGTGTCATTTGATGAGAGCTTTGAGTAGGGTCATTGTTGGTGCCAAAATCACTTGGTTGAGATGCAATTGGTGTTGGGTTCCTTGTTGGTGGCTATTTTGGAATTGTACATGATGTCTTCTTTTTTGGAGCAATGGTCTTTGACGCCATTCCCATTGTCTTTCTTCCTGCCACTTGGGTTCCTCTTTTGGGTGCAACCATTAACTCTTGAGTTGGGCCATCTTGAGAGATAAGCACTTCCGAACTTCTCCCAAGCTACAACAACATAATCATATTGTCAATAAAAAGAAATACCATAAATAAATTAAATGCAAGAGTCATACAAAACTTACATTTAAAATAGTCATTCCAGTACGCTCGTTTGTAAAAAGGCCATAACCATGTTGTCTTAGCCTTTTCTCGAGAGCCCCTCTTGTTCGCAGTGGTGCCTCACTTTCAGCAACTTTTGCAGTTGGTCTTCTTCTCACCTGATAAAGACAAATCAAAGTTAAATTTTAGCCCAAAAAATAACACAAACACCAATTGTATAGCTTATGGGATATTTTCTCCTCGTCTGGTCCAGTCAACTTAGTGGTTGACCCTTAGGCTGGCCCTTCAGTTGGCCCTTGTGTTGACCTCTTAGTTTGCTCTTGAGCTGGCCCTTGAGCTAAACCTACAG